ACCAACCAACGTCAAGCACTCATCGCAATCGCCACCGCATGGGTTTTGCCAACCAAGTTGCGGGTGGGTGGGTGGGGTGATTGCACGAGCAATGGAGTTGACAACTCACTGCGAACATCTGTTGGTTATTCTGTGTTACAAAAGACTCGACCCCCCATCGGATTATCGGTCTCCCTTTTCGTGTGGCAATTTGCGTATGATTCTGCCCCATCGTCCATCCAATATATCAATTCATACCATCCCAGCCAAGCCGGTATCCCCCCCCCGCCATTCTCTGCAACAGAAAGCTATGCGCGCGCAGTCGTTTATCACGCACCATAAGTTTTCAAGAATCCCCTGCCGCACATGACGAAGTGCACGCGAACGCGTCGTCGCGCGCGCATGCCGGAATCATTCAAAAACCTTCGGTTTAGTGCAGGTATCAAAATCGAGTGCCCCAAAAACAAATAAAAACACTGTTTCGCTACGCGGATTTTCAAAAACAGCGTGTGCGCGCGCTCTGGAGAATTCTTAAAACTAGCCGCGGGCTTCAAACTTGCCAGAAACGTGCGACCAAACGGGCTTCGCGCGCGCATGTCGAAATCATTCGAAGGCCCTTGCGCGCGTGCCGTCGCGGGAATCCTCTGCAACAGTTGAAACGAAGTGCGAGCGCGCGTTGTCGCGCGCGCGTGAACAAATCCGTCGACAACCTTCGGTTGCGCAACGATTTCATAATCGAGTGCCTAACACTCATGCAAACAATGGTTTCGCAACGCCATCTTTCACAGAACGTGCGCTCGCGCTCGTGCGAATTCTTAAAGAAATCCGTGGTTTTCCCAACGTGTCATGCGGGCCACTCTCTCGCGTCGGCCGCGCGCGCATGTCGAACTCTCTTCAAAACCTTCATCGCCGACGCGTGGGCGGCGTCATCGTCGTCGGCGTGATCAGCATCTGCGCCCGCGCTGGCCGCGCCGTCGTCGCGTTCAACATCGTCGCCAGCATTGCTACTATCATCATCGTGTCTACTGCTGCCGACGTTGCCATGATACCGCGCCTGCCCAAGTCGCCGACTCGCAATGAAGTGCCCGCTGGGATGCGCCCAGCGGCCAGCGTCACCGCGGCCGCGTCGGTGGCGCCAAACTAGCTTGCCGCTGCGCGCGCGTGCTAGGGTTGGCGCGGCCGCAGTGATGCACCAGCCAACGCCAAGCATGCATATCAATCGCCGCCGCATGGGTTTTGCAAACCAACTTGCGGGTGGGTGGGTGGGATATTTGCACGAGCATGGGACGTGCCGACTCGTTTGTTAAAATCAATTCTGCTGCCTTAAAAGTATATAGACTCTGCCCCCGCCCCTCGGGATCATCGACACTTGCATTTTGCGCATGCTTCTGCCCTGTCGTCCATCCTGGACATGAATTCATACCATCCCAGCCCAACCGGAATCCCCCCCCCGGCATCCTCTGCAACGGATATAATGCGCGCGCTCGTTTATCACGCATCATACGTTCCCAATGATACCTGGCAAAGAAGCGGAGCGAAATGCACGCGAGCGCGTCGTCGCGCGCGCATGCTGGAATCATTCAAAACCTTCGGCGTCGGAAAAAATCCGAATCGAGTATCCCGAAGAACATATAACAAGTCGTCGTTTCGCAGCCCGGATTTTCAAAAAAGTGCGCGCGCGTTCTTGCGAGTTCTTAAGAAGAAACATTCTCAGAAACTGGTACCAAGCGAGCTTCGCGCGCGCGTGTCGAAATCGTTCAAACGCCCTTGCGCGCGTGCCGTCGCGAGAGTCCTTTGCAACAAATGGAACCAAGTGCACGCGCGCGCGCGTCGTCGCGTGCGCATGCCGCAATCAATCAAAAACCTGTTGTCCTCGGAATGATTTCAAAACCGAATGTCCAAACCACATGCAAAAACACGCGACTTCGCAACGCAAGTTTTCAAAAAAGCGCGCGCTCGCGCTCTTGCGCATTCTGAAGGCATCCATCGTTCCTTCCAACATTTCCATGGAATTCTGCCACGCCTGCCTGTGGCGCCGCATGCCGACATCATTTGTGTGCCCTTGCTCGCGTGCTGGGGGGGCTCGATCCGTGTCAAATAATACCATGCGGGGCACTCTTGCGCGTCGACCGCGCGCGCATGTCGACCTCTTTCCGACGCCGTCATCGTCGTTGGCGTGATCAGCGTCGGCGCCCGCACTGGCCGCGCCTTCGTCGGTATCAACATCGTCGCCAACATCGCTACTACTATCATCGTTTTTATCGTTATCGACGTTGTCATGATACCGCGTCCGCCCAAGTCGCCGACTCGCAATGAAGTGCCCGCTGGGATGCGCCCAGCGGCCAGCGTCACCGCGGCCGCGTCGGTGGCGCCAAACTAGCTTGCCGCTGCGCGCGCGTGCTAGGGTTGGCGCGGCCGCAGTGATGCACCAGCCAACGCCACGCATGCATATCAATCGCCAACGCATGGTTTTGTAAACAAAGTTGCGGGTGGGTGGGTGGGATGTTTGCAAGAGCATGGGATGTGTCAACTCGTTGATTGAGTTCTATTGCGCCACGTATATTGCAACGAGAAGACTGCATTGCATAAGTTGCACCACGTAGATTGCACCACGTAAATGTCACCACATAGATTGCACCACGTATATTGCACCGCGTAGATTGCATTTCGTAGGTTGCATCGCGTAAATTGCATCACATATCTTGCACCGCGTAGGCTGCAATAACCTACTGTTTGCGGCCCGCGCTGGCTAGCACATTTTTTTTATGTTTGTTTGTGTATATCTATACATATATATATTTATATATGTATGTATGTCTAGGTCTATATATATATACACCCCGGAAAAGGGGGCACGATCGAACACGAAGAGGGCTGGTATCGAGGATTTGGGGTATACATATTGAGCGACACGCGAACAACGGAGAGCGATCAGCCTCAAGCTGACTGCAGTTGAACTCCAATGTCTCAGAAATACTTCTTGTTGATCCCGCCCGCAGGATTGAGAGGGTCCGGCCGCCCGACCCGCCCGCCCGATTGTTGTGGCCCGCCCGCCCGCCATCATTATCTCACCATGTCATGGTTTGTCCAAGAGCTGGCATGGGAAAACAAACCCTGGATGTCGTACGCTCATCAACGAAGAGGATGGGGGTCGAGGGTTTGGGGTATGAACGTTGACTGGCACGCGGGCCTTAGACTAATTGCTTTTGTTGATGGTGGTGATGTGGAGCAGGAGGAGGGCGGGCATGCACGGGTTGGAGATGGGGCGTGCGTTGGAGAAGAGTGGGGTTCGGAGGAAGCGTGCCGGGGCAATCTGCCACACGCACGTTTGAGAGCATCGGTCGGAGGTGAGACTTCTCGCTTGTTAGCGGATTTCCAGTCGGCTACTTTGCCGACTGCGAACTTGCAAAGGTCTTTGCCATCGCTTCGAGAACGCTCGCGCATGTGTAACATAGTTCACGCATCCAAAGACCCATGGGAAGTCAACGGCAAGGACCAAGACCAGGACAATACCAGGATAAGGTGGGCTTTGGCGGGATAGTACCAGAGAGTCCGCTTCATTTTGAGCCCGCCACCATCCTGGCACCGAGAGCAAATTCCTGTGTGGCGGCGAGCAAAATCGGACGAAATGGTGAGGTTCTTCCTGCAGATAACTCTCCGGTAGGAGCGTAGTCAAAACCAGCGTAAGGGTGCAAGATAAGACAACAAGGCTCTTGGACGTCAAATCTAGAAACACCTGCAGCGGATTTGAGCCCCAAACCCTGGGATGCCTGGGTACCCTTGTAGACCCGACTCCTGACCGACGGGGTGTGGAGCGGAAACCACTAGCAATAAAAAACCGGAGAAAGGTCGCAACCGCAAGAGTACATGCACAGATGACGATGGTGACGATGATGATGACGATGATTATGCTGCTGATGATGCTGATGATGATGCTGATGATGATGAGTATGATGAAGATGATGCTGCTGCTGCTGATGATGATGATGATGAAGATACTGATGATAATGATGGTGATGAGTATGATGGAGATGATGATGCTGCTGATGATTATGACGATGGTAATAATGACGATGGTCATGCGGAGGAGGAGGAGGAGGAGGAGGAGACAAGACGGTGATGAGTACGATGAGGGTGCGCAGTGCGCAGAGAGGCCGTCCCTCTACGACGGCCCCTCGCCTCTCGGAAAGGGTGCGGGCGGGCCGTACGCTTTTCTCTTGCGGGGCGGGGCCTGCCCTGGCAACGGGCCGGCCCTCTGGCCCCCGCCCCCCTCGCCACCGGCTGCTCCAGACCCAGACACGACCGCGTCGTAAAAAAAAAAACAGGACGGGAGGCTTTTGGCCACTCTCGGCCTCGGGGGGCCCTCGCCGGGCCTCGAGACCGTCAAGAAACGGCTCAGGACGAAAAACCCGTCCCGTGGAAAGAACCGGGACGTCCAGGGACGCCGTCCTGACAAAATCGGGACGCCGCATGTCTGTGGACCTGCCTGCGGGCCCTGCCAAGCCGCCAGGGTCCCCCCCCCGAGCAGTCTTCCGAGCGACAGCTGCGGGCAATGTTCAGATCCATATGCAGTGCGTCTTGGACTCTCTTGGAAGGGGCGCCACGAGTCCGAGGCTCACCAGATATGGACACACAAATCGAGCCTCCTCAGGGGGCGGATTTGCATCCTTGTCCAGTGCACCTCGGGTGTCCGGGAAGGGAGCCCGAAGCCACAAGCTGCAGTGGATATGGACAGAAATGCTTCCCACAACAGCCAGCCGTAGCGACGAGGACTTCCAGAGACGACACCCCCAACAAAGAAGGCCGCCGCAGGGCGTCGCCGTTGCCGACGGCGACGGCGAGCGTTGTCGCCGTCCGTCTTCGTGCCGGGAGGAGGAGGAGGAGGAGGAGGAGAGAGGAGGAGGAGGAGGAGGAGGAGGAGGAGGAGGAGGAGGAGGAGGAGGAGGAGGAGGAGGAGGAGGGGGAGGAGGAGGAGGAGGAGGAGGAGGAGGAGGAGGAGGAGGAGGAGGAGGAGGAGAAGGGTGGTGGCGCCGAGGGTGGCGGGGCTCGACTTGGTTTCCGGTCGCGCGGCACTTTGGCCACGCCGGGAGCGGCCGCTGGCCTACAACTCTGGCGCCACGCGCCCCAGGGGCCCTCTCGCCAGGCAGAGGAGGAGAGGGGAAGGGAGCGAGGATAGATTCTCGAAGACACGCCGATGAGGCGTTCCTGGAAACATTTTCAAGCCTCCAAAGGTGGGGACCTCCGCCAAAAAAACACCGGGGGGGGGCCCAGGGACCTCCATGGACTTCTGAGGACCCAAACCCCTGACGACTTGAAGCAGTCGTGTTTGAGTTTGATCCGCATCTTCGGCGTGCGGAGACCATCTCTGGGCCCCAGGGCTAATGAAACCGGCCTGGACGAAAAATCAGTCTGTGGGGAAGGGCTCGAGAGGTGGGGACAGGGGACAGGGCGGAGGAGGGGAGAAATTCAGTCGTCTCGGAGCGCTGTGGATGGGAAATGGGTTTCGGGGCAGGGGGAAGGGAAAAGGGGTGGGGGTCCATGGGGGAGAAGAACGGTGGGCGAGGGGGGTGGGACGGGGGTGTGGGGGTGCGTCCAGGAGCCTGCGCACTCGTGTGGTTCCGCTGTAGCCACAAGGGAACAGGGAGAGGGAGCAGGCTAGCTAATCTTCGCCTAGTCGGCCAGGCGGAAGGGTGCCCTCCCGCCGCCCCGGCTCGGCCCGCACGCGCTCGACGCCGCCCTGGGCCTCCTCCTCGCCCGCACGAGCGCGCCCCGCCTCTGAGGCTCTCGGCGGGGCCCCCGGCGCCTGCCCCTCTACGGGCGCGGCGCCGAGAGCGTGCGCTCCAGCTGGGCGTCCCCCCGCAGGCGGGCCCAGGCCTCCGCGCTCCTGCCCCAGACGTCCCGCGACCCCGCGGGGGCCCCGGCCTCCAGCAGGCACTCGCACAGCGCCCGGTGGCCGTTCATCGCGGCCAGCACCAGCGCCGACCTGCCGTACTCGTTGGCTGCGGAGGCGTCCGCCTTTGAGGGGGCCCTGGGACACACAAATAGCTACACACAAAAAAAACGGATACCCCATATTTTCCCATATTTTCTGGGTTTTTGTCTTCCCCCCCACTGCCCATATTTTTCCATATTTTCCTGGGGGTCGACGATTCATTGTGTCTGTGTGTTCTTTCCCCTCCTGGGCCTTGTGCTCCAGCAGCAGCCTCGCGGCGGGCAGGTTGCCGAAGTAGCTGGCCCAGAGCAGGGGCGTCATGCCGGGCGCATTGGCGGCCCACGCGTCCAGGTGCGTCGGCCTGCCGGACACGAAGCACGCCGCCTGGGCCCTCCGCACGAGCGCCTGGAGCCACGCCGCCCGCGGCGTGGTCCTGTGGTTCGGGTCGGCGCCGAGCTGCAGGGCCACCTGCAGGGCCTCCGCCCCGCCGCGGTCCAGCATGAGACCCGGGGCCAGGTAGCCGAAGCCGACGCCCTCCGCCTCGGCGAGCTGCGCCGGCAGCTGCGGGCATCTCGCCTGGAGCACCTCGAGCAGGCGTGCGCCGCCGTGCGCGCAAGCGGCGTGCAGGAGGTTGCCCCCGGCGCCGTCCCTGAGCAGCGGGTCGGCACGGGCGTCCAGCAGGGCGCCGAGGCTGTCCGCCCTGCCGCCGAAGGCGGCCGCGAACAGCGCGGAGCAGCCGCCGCTCCACGTGCCGTTCACCTGGGCCCTCGCCTCGACCAGGAGTCGCACCGCCTCGGGCGAGTCGCACGCCATCGCCACGCCCTGCAGGATGGTCATGCCCCTGCCGTGGAAGAGGGCGGCCCGAGAGCAGTCCTGCGCCAGGGGCGCCTCGACGTCCGCGCCAAGCTCTATCATCTTCCTCGCCAGGTCCAGCCGGCCCGCATATGCGGCGTACCTCAGCGGCGTCCAGCCAGTGTCCGCCTGGTCCACCGGAGAACTGAATCCCATGCACTCCAGCCACGCGGCCATGTCCGAGTCCTCCGCGTCGGCCCGCTCCCCTCCACTGCACTCTTCTCTCCATCCATCCGCGCTCACCTCCTCCTTCCATTCCCTCCACTTCTCTCCCCTCCCGCGCCTCCATCCCCGAGTCCTCCGTGGTGTTGATCGCAAGGTCGCCCAGCAGCCGCGTCTGGAAGGTGAGCAGCCAGCGCAGTGCGAAGATGCTGCCGAGCTTCCTGAGGGTGGAGATCCTGAGCCCAACCTCGGAGTATACCAAGTATCCACCCACGCCTGACCTCCAACCGTCAGATACGCAACACGTCTGCCTTCTTGCTGTCGGTTTTGAAGTTTGGGCCTCTGGGGCCATCCCAAAACAACTCGCGGCGAAAAACCAGTCCCTGGGATGTGGCCGAGCGCTCTGGGTGTCCACATCGTAATAGATTACGACGTCGGAGGCCTGGGACACCGATTCTGGCCAGGTCAATCCCCACGACTGTCCAGAGGCTGCCCTGACTCGAACATCGATCGAATCGATAGTATAATGGAATCGCTTGAATCAAACGTAATCCTTGGAGGATCGGAGCCGCCCT